CTCAAAGATCCTCCTGCAGTTGCATCAATCATAGTTCTAGTTACTACATTCATTCCATTATAAAAAGTTTCCACCTGCATCCATTCTGGAATACAATGATGTGGACATCTTCTCAGCAATTCTTTATATCTTTCCCATGCTTCATAAAGTGATTCTCCTTCCTGTTGCACAAAAGATGTTATTTCTCCTCTCAGCTTAGCAGCTTTTGAGGGAGGAAAATATTTTGTTAGAAATTTATTCACAAGTTCAGTCTATGTGGTGATACTTCCCTGAGGCTGTGCTTGTAACCAACATTTGGCTTTGTCTCTTAAAGAAAATGGAAATAGCCTCAGTCTTATAGCACCTTCACTTACTCCATTCATCCTTATAATATCACACAACTATAGAAAATTAGAAATATGTAGATTAGGATCATCAGAAATTCCACCAAAAAATTGGTCTTGCTGCACTAGGTGAAGTAAGGCTAGTTTTATCTCAAAATGATTGGCTTGAATGGTTGGTCTAACAATTGAAGAATTATAGCCTTGCATATCTGGAATTGCATAATCTCCTAGTGTTCTCATTCTATGTTGTTCTGCCATTTCAAATTTTGGAGTTGGTTGTCTAAAAGGTGAATGTTTCCTATTTGCAAAAGGAGTGACTTGAAATTCTGAAGAATGTATAACCTCTAGATCACTGTCACTTCCTAAAGATCTCTCTGCTTTAGTCTCTTTCCTTAATCTCCTAAGAGTTCTATCAATGTCAGGATCAAAGACAAGAGTAGATTTATTTTTGTTTTTGCCACACGCATATACAACTAAACACAGATATAGTATAATGAAAACAGAAAACTGCACATGTAATGTAATATTTGTAGAAAATTTAAAGAAACAAATGCTCAATCTAGTTATTTTCCTGTTACTAATGATATTGAAACAAATTATTCCTCGGCAACGGCGCCAAAAACCTATTACATTTACAACTGTTGTTGCACTGTAAGTAAACTGACTAGCAAGTGTACTAGTGTTGTTGTAGCAAGTTATAAAAAATCTTAGAATCAAATTGAATTCCAAGTATCGTCCTCAGGGAATAAAGTTCTCAATTACCACTTCACAAGATCACAATTAGTTGAGCTTTACAATTTTCATATGGATTTGGTATGAATGTATCAAAAATGAAATTAGAAAGTAAAACAGAACAGTTAGTATAAAAGTATATAGTAAACAGATGTAAAAAGAGTAGCTAGGAAATTGTTTCACCAAAACTTCAACATTGAATCAATAAAGTTCTAAACTTTCAAGCATTTAGATGGAATGACAATCAGTTTCACGTTGTATTAATCAAAGGACAATCCCTTGCCTCAATGAATCTAGCATCTAATCAAATCACTCTAATCCCTTAGATCTAATCCAATCAAAGGCTGCATTAAGTTTGAGAAACCAAAAGATTGCAAGATTAAGATATCTTATCCCTAAGAAACTAATAACCTTGGCAATTAATTCAGATCTGACAAACAAATTCAATTCCCATTGATAAGAGTTCCTTTATGATTAGTTGATCAAATTTCCATTCAATCACTACTTTAACAGCAGAATCAATCACTCAATCCAATCCAAAACTCAAAGTTCAGATCCAAAATCAATTCAACATTTCTATTTTAGATTCACAGTTCCTAACCACAAAGAGTTTAAGCAAACATTACAAAAAGAGAAGAGAAGAGAAAAGAAAAAGAGAATGAACAAAGAAGAAACATCTTCAAGCCAATCTCCAATCTGATCCCTCAATAAATGAAGCTTGGTGTTTGTTCTCAATCTCCCTCTCTGACTCTCTTAACAACAAAAACAAAACGGAAAAATATAAAAAATGAACCAAAAAATTCTCCCCTAAATTCCTGAGCTAACTGTCTTTTATAGAATTTTCGCTCTGCTGGTGTGATCACTTTTGCCAGCAATAGTAATCACGCAGAGGCTAATTCTTCATTTCCACTTGCGCGTGTTCACTTTTGCTGAAAATAGTAGCCACGCAGAAGCTTCCCTTACTAATGTCATGCGCGTGTTCACTTCTGCTAGAAATAATGAACAAGCAGAGACTACCTTCTTGCGCGTGTTCACTTTTGTGGATAATAGTGAACACGCGCAACAACTCTTCTTGGAGGACTCTCTAGAACGCTCACTTTTTCCAGAAAAAGTGATTACGCAGAAGCTCTTCTCAATGCAACCTCTCTGGAACGATCACTTTTGCCAGCAAAAGTGATTACGCAGAAACTCTTCTTCATTTTATGGTTCTGGAGTGATCACTTTCACCAGCGAAAGTGATCACTCAGAGACTATAGTTCAATTATCAACTTCTTTCCTCCAATTTTTGCTACTTTTCTTCTATTTTTCCTTTGATCATCCAATCCTCATGAACTTAGCTCAGAATTCCCTACAAAAGCATACTTGAATTGTCACTTTTTACATAGAAAATCAATGAATTTTAAAATAACTATGTTTAAAAGTGACATGCAACATTTTATTATTTTTTTAAGGGTTTTCTACTATTTCTAGCATGTTTTCTTTATTAATTGCACTAAAAACTATTGTAAAATACTAGTAAAATATGGATTCATCAGGTGGTGACACCATCAGTAGGCGTGGATGCACCACAAGCCACACACTCTCCTCCTGACTCGACCTCTGACCAATACCTTTGTTAAGAGGCCCATGAGCGCACATTGTATTCGTGAGGCGGGGGCTAACCGGCAACCATCTATGGTATGAAGCACCAATTAATTTTTTCTAGCAACACACTACGCAATCAGCCCACATAATAGTCATAACACAACAAGTATACAAAGGTGCGCCCACTGCACCTTCAATCAATCCACATACACACGTGCGCTAAATAAAGAATGCAATTAAAAATTTATTTGAATTAAAAGAATGAATTATTTATGAAAATGTTATTCTTTTTTTTTAATTTTGTATTAAAGAAATATATTAAAAAATAGAACTTGTCTTAATACTTTATTTTAAAAAAAACATAATAATGTCATTTTTTATATTTTTTAAACAAAGAGAAACAATTAAAAATTAAATTAAATTGAATGAATGAATTGTTTATCAAATATTATTCTTTTTTTTTTGCATTTTTTATTAAGGAAATTTATAAAAAAATTCAACTAAAGTGAAAATTTATTTTTATATTTTTTTAATAAAGAAATAAAAAAATTAATTTGAATTGGAAGAATGGATTATTTATAAAATATTATGCATTTTTTTTTTTTGCATTTTCATATTGAAGAAATGTATCTTAAAAAATTTTATCTTGGTGTTTTATTTATTTACTTTTTTAAAAATAAACATAACAATTTTATTTTTTTAAGAGAATTATTTGAAATTACTCTTAGTTAAAAAAAATTTTAAAAATAAATTAGACCTAGAATAAAAATTTTTAAAAGATTTTAGATTTAACGAGTCAAGTTTCCGATCCTACGTATCTTCCGTGTACAACAGAAGAATCAAAGCCACGTAGTTCTTTTCTTAAAATTAGGTTTAGGATAAGTTGCAAAAGTTGCAAGAATTTTTTTTGGAAAACTTGATTGTTCTTTATTATTATATTTTTTTAGTGAAATAAATTGGGTTTTAGGTAAGTTTCAAAGATTATTTTAAATTTAAATTTTATGTTTTTATTATTTTTTAAAGTAAATCTACTACTACATGGAGTTCAAGTTGGCACAGGCTACTCAATATTTACAAGTCGTAATGAAAATTATTCAAGTCCTAATGAGAAGATCATTCCTACATTAAAATTCGAAGAATATGATCCTAGTCTGGATCAATCTTCATCAAACTAGCCTTCTAGTTCTTCCATTTCTTCCTATGATCTCCAATGTTAGTTATGACCTTTGTGCCAGTTATCTGCTCTCGAGTAAATCTATTCAGTCTTCCAAGATAGTTGAAGTCATGGAAGAAATATACATAATTGACCACAACTAATGTTCTAACAATCTCTCTGTATATATACAGACAGAGAGTGTGATAGATCCTACTACTAATAGGGTAATCAAAAGAAATATTATACTATATCGTGTTCTCTACAGTAAATACCTCCCTGGATCTATTCCTAAAAATATAAGTAAGGATAAGTTTTCTCCTCACTACTAAAATATAACCAATTAAAAATTTGAAAATTTCACAACAAATAAAACACAATTACAATTGAATCACCATTGTCACCTAACAAACTGAATACGTGGCATAAAGGAGATGGCATGAAAGATGTGAGAATCAACTGAGTGAAGAGGTAATATAAAAGGATAGACAAAAGGGTAGAAGGCAGGAAATATTTGGAGTAATTTGGAGTGGTTGTTGCCACAAGATTGAAGGTTATCTAATTCTCAGTAGTTTTCCTTGTTCTTTTTGCTATTGTAAGTTTTCTATTTTGTGTATAAATCAAAGATCAATTCTTTAGTTAGACTATTAATCTAATTTTTGCATTCAGTTCCTATCAAATTGTTATTAATTCTTGAGCCTAAATTTTATTCTTAGTTGACATTTAGATTTTTTTAGTTAAAAATTAGTGTAAAGTTACCAAAGCATTGAACTTTACTACACTTGTTAGAGTTGAATCAGAAAATTTATTTTCTGCATGAAGGGCAATTTTAGAGAGTATTCTGATTCCTAACCATCTTTGTTTTTTGATTTCTTATCTTGATTCCATGTTACTGCAGTTAAACACTAACTTCTATAGTCATTTACTTAAGATTCTGAAGTAACTTGAGTTACCTTTTATAGTTATATTCTGCTGTATATCTTTAAACTGTTTACTTAAAAAAAAAAAATTGTATGTATCGTTGAACTTTGACTACAATCCTTGAACCATACTTTTCTCACTTTGTATTACATGGATTGACAGTGCGTTAAGCTGTTTTTGTGTTAATTCTGGATGTTTTTCCTCCATATGAATGCCAATTGTTAGGCCTTTTGTGATTTATTTCTAATGTATTAAAAAAACTAATCAAATTTTAATTTGTAAAAGTCCCACTAAATATCTTCGTTCCTCATAAAATATCATCTTTTTTAATAATTGCTTTATTAAATTCATACATATGCATAAATTCACACATATAATAACCAAAAGTAAACTAGTCGCCACATTAACGCCAAACAGAACCATTTGTCGCGGGGTTAACACTCAACACCACCATCCAGTAAAAGACTAAAGGTCTCAGTAACTATCCGCAATACTCAAGAGAGAGGAATATGTTCCAACGAGTCCACAAATGATTCCCAATGTAGCAATTGTGACGCTAAGTGCAACCTGATGTTGTCAGCAAACAAGTTGATTGTTAATAAAAGGAATGTAAAAGGTAGTTGGAGGATAATATCCATACTATCGTTTACTTATATGTGGCATTCGGTACAAAATATTCAGTCAGCAGTTTATGGCCTAATAAGATAAGGATTCCAAATTAAATTTAAAAAAAAATTCATATTGGTTTGGCTGGTTTCCTTCTGCAAACTATACGATGATTATGACCAAAAACATTAGAAGCACATTAGCATTTCGACGAGGTACTCTTTCATAGAGAAAAAAAAATAAAAATACAAGATAGTGGTATTATTACCTGTGTCTTTGTAGCATTTTTTCCAATAATTTTCAAAAAACATAAACTTGGCATTATCGCTGACTGGAAAATAAAATAGCAAAAATTAGATAGCACTTTCATTGGAATTGCTCACAAAAACTTAAATAATAAAAATAAGGTAAAGCACAAGGAATTTTGAAAAAATATAGTTCAAGTTATGTTCATCCCAACAAACATTACAAAATGATAAATACAAGTTGTACAGTACAAAAAGAAATCAAGTGAACTTGAGTCTTTAGTTCTACTTGTTTTGTTCACAAAGTATGTCCTAGGTTAGATAAACTCCTGATTATTATGCTCTAGGTCTTTTTGTTCTTGATGATGCAAAGTTGAATAGGAAAATTATACTGCCTGGAATATGATGGAACTTCTATAGGGATGAATGTCCAGAGCTAAAATAGTTTACAATTCGTGTTCTTAGCTTGACTTGTACCTCTTTTGGATGTGAGTGAAATTAGAGTTTATTTGAAATAGTAAATGAAGTTCTATTTTATTTTTTTTAAGTTTTCTTTGTTTAAAATATTGACTAATAAGCTTATTTTGGCCATTGTGCTATTATCTTTAAGTTTATACAAAGAGAAGAAATTGATTGCATGAAAAAAATATGAATGATTTGGTTTATGTGATGTCCAACAATAAAATTAAGAACTAAACAAATAAAAATAAATCTTATCATTCCCTTTGGTGATATTCAACTTGATGATGAATGAATAACTGACAAGGAACAAGTAGAAGAAGACATTGCTAAACTTGAACAACAATCTTTAAATGACAAAGGTAGCAATGTTGAAGAAGTTGGAATTTCAAGCAATCCAACTTTAAATGGCATGAAAGACTTAGTCTTTAATCCTAATATTGAAGAACCTCTTTTACCATAGGAAAAAGAAAATTATGATGATGATGATAGTGATAGTGATAGTGATGAAATTAGTAATGATGATGATATTGAAGGACTAAAGATTTGAAGATGATGACTTGTTTGTTCCTTTTGTTTGAAATTCTTAGTCATTCACCTCATAAATTTGTGTACTATGACATTTAGATTTGAACATTTGGTCCTATATGTGATTTTAACTTGTTTTATGACTTTACCATTGTATTGATTTGACTATTTGAACGTGTTTTTTATTTTTTTAATATTTACTTTTGCATGAGGAGTTTACGAGTCAAGTTTACAAGCACTCCACAAGTTTACTTAAGCTCTCGAATTTAACAATATTAGCTATCATAGGTAGTAACCACTACAGAATTTCATAGATAAAGCAATGTCTCTACCATCACTTCCAAACAAAGGACCTTGGTAGACTTAAATGCTTTTAGGATAGAAGTAGCTCAATCCAAAATTGTTATTCTAATTTCTAAGAGGAAGTATACCATAGACATCAAAGAAGAGATAAGGCTGATGAGTGCCAAATTCATTGATACTCCTATGGACCCTAATATCAAACTCGTACCAACATAGGAGTAGCCTCGGTAGATTTAGAGAAATACAAAAGACAAGTTGAGAAAATAAATTATCTCACTATCACTCGTCTTAATATCTCCTATGCTGTAAGTGTAGTGAGTCAATTTCTCAACTTTCCTAATAAGGAACATTGAGTGGGTCAATTTCTCAACTCTCCTAGTAAAGAACATTAAGATACAGTTACTTTTATCATTAAAATATATCAAGATAAACTCAAATTGTGGGCTATGCAGATGTAGATGAACATGTTCTCTTATAGATAGATCAACTTTTGGGTAATACATTTCATTGGTGACAACTTGATCTCTTGAAAAAGTGAGAATGAAGCATTGTTGTGTTCTCAAGTGTAGAGGAGGAAAATCAAGCCATGGCTTCAGCCACTTGTAAGCTCATATTACTCAAATAGTTGCTAAAGGAGAAAGGACACTAAATGAGCCTAATTTGTGATAATAGGCTACTCTACATACTGCCTTAAACCCAATCTTTCATGGCAAACCAAATATATTAAAATAGATTGTCACTTCATTAAAGAAAATAATTTATTTGGGGAATTTTACTCGGTTTGTCAACTCTGTTGATCAGTTAATATCTTTACAAAATCTTCAAGGGGCGTCGTATTGGTTATAAATGTAACAAACTTAGTGCATATGATTTATATGCTCCAGCTTGAGGAGAAGTGTTGAAAATAATATAAATAAAGTAACTATGTAAATAAGGTAACTATGAAGACAGCAAAATCATAGATAACAAAATATCATATGTCATGCAATATTATGTAATCATTGAGCATTATTATATATAGATAGCTCCATGTTGTATTCCAACACACCGATTCATCATATGTCTATTCATTTCTCTCTCTCTCTCTGCAACAACCTTAAATATTAAGGTTTATTGTGGTGTTGAAACCTTAGTCACCAGGGAGCAAGGTAGAGCCCTGGCCTATTCAAAACCCCTATGGTTATTTTGCATGGTGATTGATTATAGCCAACAAACATTATTTTAAAATTTTAATATGATCTACATGTTGTGCCTTATCTCTTACATTCTAGTTGCGATTTCGTCTCTCACCCTTGTAATTCAACTGGGAATTGGGAAGGAAATGTAATGTTAATAAAACAAAAGAGATTATCAGCTCAAGTTCCAAGAGATGATCTAATCACAAGGGGGTGAGCAAAAATCGAATAATTGCAACTGACCACGCAAGAAAACACAATCATGCTTTGCACACGTCAAGGGTGTGTTTCTCGATAATGCATGGCCATGCTGAATTCAAACAATATCTAGCATGACCGTGCTATGCTAATTTAATCTAGGATCAAATTTTGAAATTTAATTTTTCAATTTTGAGAATTTGAATCTAAATCGAGTTCAGAGAAATCAAAGGAGGTTTCAATTAAGATTCCGAAAAGTTGGTAAAATCGATTTCCATTCAAAAAGATAAAGTTCAACTGCTGAAAATCAAGTGACGATTGGGGAACTCAATGCACATTCTATATAAAAAGGCTTTATGCTCTTGCAAGAGACATCTTCTACATACCATCTCTTCTCCTAAGTTATGACTTAATCAACGAACGAGAGTTATTGAAGATCATTGACAAAGACAACCAATGTCCCTTCAGAGTCCGAGTTAGTGATTGAGTGCTCCTTGGAGAACGAGAGCTACTTCCATCCTTTTCACTTTGAGGCCTTTTTAGTTCAAATTCTCCTTTGTGTTTATAGATTTGTTTATCATGTTTTTTGTTGTTTGTATTATTATGAGTAGCTAAATTTATAGCTAGGACTATGGCAGATCTTATTGCATACTTTATGTGATTTTTATGTTTAATAATGATGTTGGTTTCTTTTTAACGTTTAGTTTTTATCCTATCAAATTGAATTTTGTATGTTAAGAATTAATCATCCTTAGCATCTCATAATTAGTTGCATTATAAACAGTCATACCACATGTAATTAATGAAAATATAGGATAAACAGAACAAAAGGTTAGACAAATCAAACTTAATTCTTTTTTAACCGTTATTGAATTAACAAACACATAGGCTCTTTATGCTTTCTCTGTATTTTGCCTTACATGATTATTAGGAGTAATTGCTTAGAAAAAAGAATATTGACATTGCATGATCATTAGGTGTTTAATAGAAATAAGTATGGGTGGTTAGTAAATATTAAGGAAACTAATATTGAAATTAGACTAAAGAAAACATAGAGTGGTGTAATAGGTGAAACCATATACCCTAAGCTCTTCTCACCTAATTTTTGCCAAAACTTACTTTCGTATCTTTTTAATTTCCCTCTGAATTTAAATTCCTCTTATTTTTAATTCATTATCCACCTTTTCAGTTTAAATAATTAAATCGATGTGTTCTTGGTACTAGAAAATAATCTCTATGAGACGATAACTTGGAAACTCAATTTTAAACCTTTTATTTCTTTTTGAAGGGTACACTTGTCTACAAACATTACCAAATTGTAAATATAGGGAGAGTAGGAGGAAGGTGGTTGTGCTTCACATGTGATGAAAACTATTACATTGTACATGTATTAAAAAATAAACTATTTACGGTGTTTATTTTGGAAGAAATAGATGATACACGAGTAGGACACCATGGAAGATGAAGATCAGCAAGAAATAACAAGTTAATTGGACTTACAAACCATGGTTCGATTCACACCCAAGAAGTCTTTGAAACTTTGGGAGTAGGGGGGAACTAATACAAGAGAAGTGAAAATTCTAATTGATAATGGTACATATTACAATTTAATCTCTCATCAGTTAAATCATGCTGGAATTTCCAATCAAAGAGACACTCCAATATCCAATACTTAATGAAGTTAGGAACAAATACATGGTGAAAACTCAGATACTGTGCAAGGATTTAAAGTTGTAGTTACATGGACAACTTTAAGGAGTTTATGCTAAAAATTAAGAAAGGAAGCAAAATATATGTTTTTACAGGGGATACAGTCCAAGTTAGTTGCATCACTTCAATAATTGATGAAGGCATTATAAAAAGAGGACAGATAAGGGTTTTGCTAGATTATAGAGTGGCAACATACTAGTTGACGATTGTCTTAGCCTTTATTAGAGTTACCTTGACCATATCTGTAGTCGACATGAGATCTCAACAATCTAAAAATCCAACAGTAAAGATTGAAGTCTTTAATTAAGAAGTGAAATGAGAAGTTGGCATGGGCCCTTTACAGGGTTAAGGTTGGTGGAGTAGCATTCAGACAACAATTGTTCATGTATGCCTTTTAAAGAAGGATGTCTTAGGGGGCTACACATCTTTAGCCTTTACCACGAGCTATCTGGGGACCGGAGTTACAAGTGCATCATCAGGAGATTCTTTAATTGCAATACAATGCTATAGGTGCTACAGACTTTCCGATTTTCGTTATAATTCTCAACTAAAAACCCCATAGTTCTCCCACTGACTTCCCTCGTAACTAATTCGAACTAACAGAAATCAAACATGCTCCTAGATCTTTCTAATTTCGGGTGTTATCTAGTATTTTATTTTTTTCTCAATCTGCACTCACTTTTGAGTACAAAGCTAAGATTTTGTTCTGTAATAAAAGATCCCTACTTTTTCTTTCTCCCAAAACTACCAATGTAACAATTAAGAAAAAAAAGTATAGTCAAAGAAAGTACAAAACAATCTTGTCTTCATCATTCCTTTTCTCTCTACAATTCTAAAAGTAGTATTACTAAGGTGATTTATATAACAAAAACTAAGTAATATTAAGTGGAAACCATAAACTAAGTAGACTCAAGATATGTCATCACATGGAAGAGGATTTTCCTTCAACCAATGAAACTCATGCAATCTTAAATAATCATGACTTTTTAATTTCTTCCAAACAATATATTAAGCTTTGGTAGTACAAATATCATAGTTGTGATGAAGACACACACACACTAAGGAAGAGAGAGAGGGAGAAATGTATTTCTTACCACAAGTATACTAAAGAGTGAACCAATTAATGCCATAACAAGCCCTGAAATTGTAATAAAATAATATTAGAGACATTTACAGTTCATCTAACACGTATCACTAGTTTTGAAATTAAATATATATTTTTTTATAAAAAAATGTTATGACGTATTTTTTAATTGGAAGAAATAACAAAAATATAATAATTAAAGATTTTTAAACATTACTCAAGGCACACAAAAAGAAATTAATAAATAGTTAGTTTTTTTAAGATTTTAGTGCAGGCCCAATCTAAGTGATTGGCAGAGTATGAGCTTAAAGCTAGACTGACCTATTACTTAAATGTGACTACCTTTTAACTGTATTTTTCTTGGCTTGGGTTTATACTTGAAGTTGGGCCTCTATCTCATGTTCTTTTTTATTATTATTGTCAAGGCTTGGGCTCCTTTTTCTTTATTTTTTTAAATGCCACAAATCTTTATTTCTTTGCTTGATCCTTTATATTTAAATTTTTGGCCTTTCATTTATTTTATTTCATTTTTTAGGATCAGACATAGACAACAGCAGCCAGTAGAAAAACAAAATATGTAAAAGGCAAACTTAAAAGTCTCAGGCCAGTTAAACAGAGTTGACGGTTTTGTTTTCAAATTTGTAAAAGACAAACTTCATCATTGTTTATATTTTGATTTTGATTGAAAAAACCAAATATGACAGAAATGAAAAAGAAAATTTAAATAATAAGTACATGGACAGAAAACAGAAAACATCTCAAGTTATGTTATTTTCTAAGGTGGCCTCAACTAACTATTGGGCAGTGACATTAAAATAAATGCGATTTAAAGACAGAGTCTAATACGTACCAAAAAAGGGAACCAAAAAGGCAACACAAACTGTAGATGCAACAAGTGCTGTTCTAAGAAGAATGAAACACCAATAAGTACTTGAAATTCTATCCGGCAGCAACTCCTCTAGACTCCTTGCCAGTGGGTTCATCAACAAAGCATATTTGTTCATTATTAAGGAAAAGGCAAACAAAAGGACTCCTGAATTTGGTCAAACCATGACCATATTCTATACTTTCATAAACATAGTTTTGGAAAAAAGGATATTTAGTGAATGGGTTAATGACCTGAAAGAAGAGAACATAACATAAAAAGAGAAATTAAGTTATTGTCTACCAGGAAGAAACTAAAAATTACATCTAAGGGACCAAAAGAATTCTCAAAACTCACTGTTGTCCACAATGCAACTTTGGAAGCAAATGAACCTGGTGGCATATTCAATGTTATCTGAGACAATGTGCCATCACCAAACATGAGAAATCCCATGACTGCAACGCCTCCATATATCAAAACACACAAAACAAAACTGTACGCAAAGAAACGAGTTCAGGAATCAGAAAAAGGAAGTCAAATCGGTTGTGTATTGCCAGTGATAGAAAAGTTATCAGGCACTATACCATGTTATTACTGCTTTGGTAAATTGTTTTTTGTCAGCCATAGACTGGTAAATATTTGGAAAAACTGAATGACCTGCAAAGCAAAATCCATAGACACCAATAGCAAATGGAATACCATTCCATTTTATCAATTGACCAGTGTGATGGAATCCAACACCATCTATTGTACCAACAGAAAACACACAGATAACAATCAAAAGTGTTGCAACAACTCCTCCAGCTGCAGATTGCAATAAAAGCTCCAATAAAGACATGCTAAGTTGTAAATTTGGAAAAACAGAAGGGATCTGCTTTTAGACTTTAGATCACCTGATAGATAAGAGATTAAACGAAGATCCTTCAACCAAACTGTAGGGAGAATAATAAGTGCAGTCAAAACCCCAAACAAGTGCACAGAGTCTAACTGCAAACTACCCAGATCTAAGGATGTTCCAGGAAACAGGCTAGTGAGGTTATCTCCTTCCAACGTGATGAATTCAACGCAATATGACTGCATTAGCAAAAAGGGCTTATATATATGGAGTGGAGCAACAAAATACAGGTGTTCTCAAAGGAAACAAAAGAAGAAGGTTGGAACACTTACATATAATTCAGTGTACAGAATGATCTGCAACAGGTATAATCAGTAAACATAGATCAGTAAAAATGCAAAAACAGTTCATCGATGAAAAAGATTACGTGTTATCATTCTTTCTCACTACTATGATATGGTTTAGAGCAAGAAAAAAAACAGAGAAATCATCCTGCAGTAAATTGTGTCAGAGCCTTAAGACATAAATTGTTCAATGGTCAAAATGAGCGAACATCATCAAAGACCATGGTAAAAGAACATAATCAGAATGATCATCTAGCATGTGCCCAATTGACACTTGTGAACACCATGTAACAAGCACTGCACAACAATTTTCAATTGATTAGATTAAAGATATAAACTCACTGATACAACAATACGGCCATATCTTCCAAATGCAGCTTCTCCTATATCTGGGTAGGTAATGATTCCTTCTCTGCTTTCAAAGCAGTATCTCAGAAGGGTAGCTGTATAGCAACAAATAACAGCAAAAAGAAGCATTACTGCCATGCTCATCCACCCAGCTTGATTCACTGTATACGGGGTAGATAGAAGGCCAACTCCAGCCATCACATTAATCCCTGCCATGGTAGAAAAAGAAATTGGCAAGTACCATTCAAAATTAAATGTTCAATAAGAGCATGCACATATCAAAATTAGATGTTCAAAGATACAGTAACAGATTGCACTGAAAAGACAGTGTACCATTAAAAATTGTTTGAGTGAAGCTGCATCCATATCCAATGGGCAACTCTCCAGTAAAATGTCTTTGCACTGAGGCTTTCTCCCACCAAGTTGATTGACTAATGCCTTCTGGAGCAGATAGAAAAGGAGTCTTTCCATCTATGTCTAAGCTACTCTTCGAACGATTCCCAAAACTAGAATATATAAAACTCGGTCCTCGAATGATTGATTCAAAATTTGGAGCTGCGGCAATCGTATATGAATCTGTAGTCTCTCTGTCATAAAATAAGAAAAGAATATCTGGGCTCATTCAGGTTACTAGGAAAAAGTAAGCTCAGCAATAAACCTGATAACAAAATAACAGGACGCGAAAGCAATTCAAACAATCTTAAACGCACCACAAGAATTTCAACATCCCTCACACATTTTTTTTAGCCACAGACAGTAGAAAAATCATAAAAATCATTAACTATTATAAGTTTGAAGTAAGGATTTGTCATATAGATACAATCAAGCAAAAACAAATATTCAAATTGGAAGTGCGAAAGAAAAACAATGGTTAAAGATGAGGGTACTTGTAACTCTGAGGCCATTGCTGAGAAGTGAAAGAGTGGGGGTGTGCTACATCATTCCCCTCATCATCACTGTCACCTTTACTGCTACTATCACTCTCGTACTTCACAGCTTCAATATCCTCTTGTTCACATTGGCTGCCATCCTCATCGTTCGGATCAAACATAATCTCAAGGTCCCTCTCCTTCTCCTTGTTGTTATTAACCATCATTGCAAACTCAACACCCCTTTTCACAGCAACCGAACTAATACCGAGCTACGTTAAATATATCTATTTCTCTGTGTTGGTAAATTATTATTATTATTATTATTATTATTGATAATTGATTGTTGATGATAAAATAAGGAAAGAAAAAGAAAAGGGGTATGGTACGGATTGGGTGGGAACGTGAAAGGGACAGACAGTGCCAGAGAAATATCGAGAAGGGGATTGAAGGTGGCGAAAGAGTTAAAAAGACACAAAATGTTCGCTTGGACAAGCCTAACGTGGCGAGGCAACTGTCAGCGTTTGCGTTCATCTTCAGAGTAAATATTTCAAATTTAAAATTTAAAATTATATAATATTTTTTAAAAAAATTAATATAAACATTGATTCATTTCTATAAATTTTATTTAAAACATTTAAAAATTAGAAAATACTAATTAAACCCTAATATTTTATTATCCCCTCTTCCAAGATTACTTGCAAACATACCGGAAAGAGAACCTGCATCACATGAGTCTCTTATGTTGTGAGATCACGTGTTTTGATTATTTTTAACATTTTTCATATCTTTATATCATCTATTTTTATATATTAAATTGTTTCGTCACTTTTAAATATAAAAAATGTTAGGAATATTTTCTTTACATATATTTTAATTATGATGAGTCATGTGCTCATGTTTAGCTGAGTTTGCTTTTTTATATGAATTTTCATGTCAAGTCAATATTTTGTCTAACTAATAGATATTTGCGGTCATTACTATCTGACTTGATTTTTTTTTATTAAATCTCATAAAAAATAAAAAAAAATAGTGCGTTTTATTAATTTTATATACTTTTAATTTTTTATTAAAAATTTATTTTAAAACAAATATATATGTAATTGCTTTTTGTTTTTACAAATACATTTTGACAAAGAATTTAAAGTAAGTTAATGATATGATATATTGTGTAAGTTTGGTCAAGTGTTTGGTTATTATTATTTTGTTTTTATATTTAATTAATTATTTAATTATTAATATTAAATAGATTCAAATTTTATATTAATAAATACTACAATAAGTAAATTAGTATAACTTATTTTAAAAGCAAAAAATTAAGTTATATATATATATATATATATATATATATATATATATATGGAAAGTTATACATTATAAAATGGTTTTTCATGTTGAAACTTGTATAAAGTTTTATTCACAATTTCATGTTGAACTAAGCTTCACTATGGTCCCTAAAGTTTTTTGCGGACTTTTCCATAACTTTGAAGTAAATCTTAGATCTCTATCAGACACGATGCTCGTAGATACTGCATGTAGTCTGACTATCTCTTTGATGTACAATTCTGCCAGTTTCTCCAACTTGTACCTCATGTTGACTACCTTGAATAGAAAATGAACTGTCTTTGTTAGCATATCTACAATTACTTATATCGCATCATAATTGTGCTTGGTCTTTGCCAAACTAGATACAAAATCCATAGAAATTGTCCCATTTCTATTTGAGAATTTTCAACTGTTGCAATTTCCTCTGCATATGTTGATGCTCCATTTTTTACTTGTGACAAGTCAAGCATTTCACAACGTACTCTGCTACCTCCTTCTTCATCACGTACCACCAAAAGCTCTTTCGTAAGTCTTGATACATCTTCACTGCTCCTGGATGAAAACTCAGCTTACTCTTGTGCATTTCCTCCAATATCATATGCTTCAACTCTTCATTTTGAGGGATACACACCCTATTCTTGAACTTTCTCAACTCATTTGAATCACAATGAAAACTCCAAATCGTTGTCTTCATTCTTCTGTCGCATTATTTCTTGCAAATGCATATCTTCTTATTGTGTAGCTCAAACTTGAGTGAAGAAATCGTTGCTAATCTTCAAAATTCCTAGGTAAAGACTCTTGGGTCATACTTTCACTATCAAATTTCAATCTTTGAATTCTTTAATCAATTTTCACTCTTTCATCATCATGGCTGAGATATGTAGAGACTTCCTACTCAATGCGTCTGCAACTACTGATGAATCCACAATTTATAGATATTTTGTTTAATTTTTTTATATATTTTTAAAAGAAAAATAAACTTAGAAATTGTAAATAATATAAAAATCCCATTTAGGTATTTTAAGGTTTTAGGATACTTTTGGAGAGCCTAGGTTAGCCTTGGGTGACGGCCAAGGGTCCAACCTAGGATTTGAATTCCATTTCTTCTTCACTTTTCTTTGATTTTTTTTCACCTTGATGTTATTGATTTCTCTTTACTTTCATTTTGTAATAGTGAGACCCATCCTCATGGAGGGCTAATTTTCTTGTAATTCCTAGTGAGTTCATATAGATTCTTGAATTTCTAGGTTTTTAATGTTAATACGAATCTCTTTTTCATGAATTTCTTTTCTCCCAATCTCTTGAACTGAATTAATGGTTGAATGAGGGGACATTACTTAATAAACCCGTTCTGAACTTGGTTTGCTTAATTCTGGGTTTAATTCTAAGGTTGCTTAATCTTGTGGATGAGAGATTGGAGCCTATTGATTTGCTTAGTTTCGTATGGAAATTTAAGGTTGATACTTGCTTGTTAAATTAACCTAATTCAAAGAAAGAGAAAGTATTAAATCTTAAGAGGAATAGGGGTATAATCTATATGGATAAACTAGGGGTTACTATATTTTATTGATTGAACTTTACAATTTGATTTTTTGATTGAGTAATTTGCATTTGAAACCACAAACACCCCCTCTTTTTACTTGTTTTTTGAATACATTGCACACTAAATGTTTGATATTTGGTCACTCATCCAATGATTCATGATAAGTCTGTAATTAGACCCTATTTTACAGCCCATATATTCATATTTGACCTTTATTTTATTTGAATTTTACTTTATTTTATATATTAATTGTGCAGTTTAGTATAAAGAGGCCGCAAGTGGATGTTGGGTGCATTTTGGGCCCAAATTCATGGAAGATTAGAGCTTCGCAGCAGTTAGCACGCCCAGACCCTTTTAACAAGCACGAGGGTGCTTCGAGCCCATGCACAACCGTGCTCATCTGCGAGAAGCCCAATTATCAAGAGTCTTTAGGGTTTTCAAACCTTATTAAAAGGAGATCTCAAGTATCATAAAAGACATTGTTTTTACATCTTGGCTTTGGCTCTAGAATACATCTGATCTCGTCTCTCTTGCACGAGATCCTTGGCACATGCTTGGCGAGACTTGGAGCTTCAAGCGATCATACTTGAAGACTGGGAACACATCCTATACTCTAGTTTGCTATTTCTTTTGATTATGGCTTTGTTTATGATTGTTTTAGTTCTTTTCTTTACCATGAGTAACTAAGTCCATAGCTAGGGTTATGGGAACTATTATTCATGAATTTATGAAATTTTGATGTTTGAATCTAAATTTGATTTCCGTTTTGTGATTAGATTTTATCCTATTGCGCTTCTTTTTTAATCCTAATTAATTATATCGTCAGGCGACCGTACCTTGGTTAATTAATAGATCTATAGGGTAAAATGAGACAAAGGATTAGGGGGACCAAACCAATCTTTCTCTCTTCTAACCGTTATTAAATTAACAAGTTCATAGGCTCCTAAAGCTTTATTAAATTAATGTCTTGCATGACTATTAGGGATGTTAATTTAGCGAAAAGAATATTAATATTGCATGACCATTGGGTATTAATAATATTCGTATGAATGATTGGTAATCACAAGGAAATTGAATTTAGAGTTAAACAAAAAAATAACATAAAGGTTTAAATGAGAAAACCCATATGTCCTAGGTTCCTCTTCGATAAGTTTAACAAAGACGTGCATTGTATTCCTTGGTCTTAGTTTTATAATTAATTTTATAAATTCTTGTTTTTAATTAATCTTGTATCTTTGAAGCTTAAACAATTGAATTAGAAAATTCTTAGTAATTGAAAAATAATCCTTGTGGGATGATATTTCGGGAACTTAATTTAAGAACCCTTTATTACTTCTCAATGGGTACACTTGCCTTCCGAACAAGTTTTTGGCGCCGTTGCCGAGGGTTGCTTTTTCAATATTAAGAAAATCTCAAATTTAATTGATTTGAGCAATTTGTGTTTTATTTTATTTTAATTCTGTTTTGTTTTTTGTTAAATTTTTCTTTTATATTTTATAATTTTTGTTCTTATTTTATTTTAATTTTTTTATTTCACAATTTCTTTTAATGTATGCTCACTCGTTCTAAGTGTTCTACAGCTTATTTATTTGATCCGAAGATTGAAAGAACAGTTCGTAGACAAAGAAAAGAAGTGAGAAAGCAAAGAATGGCAAAGGGAAGGAGATAAATTCAAGATTACATGACACCTACTGCTAGAGGCACCCCTGGAAGCATCACAGCCCCTAATGTGGAGGCAAACAATTTTGAGTTGAAACTAGCACTCTTAACCATGGTCCAGAACTCCATACAGTTTGGAGGCATGCCTAATGAAGATCTCAATCTCCATCTGACAAAGTTCCTCCGATTGACAGATACTATCACCTTTACTAAGGGGCTGTCTATTGCATGCGTTGTATCCGTATTGCATTGGGCCATCCGGCGACTATTTACATGGATGTGTAAGACCTCGGAATAGAGGCATCGGATAACTGTGGCTACAGGGCACGGTAAGCGCGGATAAAAGTAAAAGAAATTGTGAATCTGTGGAATATAATATGTGTTGAGATGAGAATATGCTTTATATGACATTGTGATATGTAATGCCATGATGTTTTCTTTAATCGTGATAAGATGTGTTTTGGGATGAATATGTGTAATGTATGAGTGGTAGGGTAGAGACTCACCCTTACACAACATTTTTCAGGAAACTAGGACGAATAGTACCAGGCTCACAGTGCATGGATGGATGAGAACTGCTATAGGACTTAGTTATTTTGAGTTATGTAATGAATATTTTCAGTTCTATAGCATTTGATAAATGCTCTAAAGACTTAGTCCTATATTATGATAATTGAGAGTTTTTAAGCTATTCATTGATAGATATTATTATAATTAATCTCATTTTATTTATATTTCAGGAAAAAGGATCAAGGATATGAAAACCTTAAAGATGTCGAGAATTGAAGAAAAAGAATCCA